AGAAAACATCCAAAATATTTAAATGGTATTCTATTATTGTTTAACTGGGCGATTAATCACATGATTAATCACAATTAATTTTTTTCATTGCTTGATAGCCCTACATTCAATCCTGCCATTCAATTCAATCCTGCCACTTTATTTGAGAAGGAAGTCTTCTCATTTCAGGCAATAAAGAGATCATCCTTGTAGAAGACACATGCCCTGATCCTGCAAGTTTTTCCACGTGGCCCAGCTTCCAGGCTTAGGGCTAATGTAAAGGGCTGAGAGTGTGCATATATTTTAATAATTCTGCTTTGAGCCTCAGGTTCTTTTATATTAAGACAAAAGCCAAACACTTAAGGGAACAGTTTATGGGAATGTAAATAAATATCCAAGTGGTCTCACAGTTCATGTAAATAAATGTACAAAAATGAAATACTTCATTACACATTCTATTTAAGAGCTTCTATGAACTGTGAGAATATTTAAATTAGAAATGAACAATGCTGAATTTCAATTTTTTTTCAAACAAAGGGACTTTTTTTCAAAAACAAAAAAAAATTTCCCATTTCCAACTTCTTGTACTTTAAATATCTATGTTGCCTTAACTGTTCACTTCCCTCATTTAAACGGTAATATTCCCGTACACATTCATTTTGGCCAAAGTTTTCAGATAACATTTTCTTGGGTGCAATGTTCTGTCCACAATTACTTTTGCCTTCAATTTAATAAATGCAGTCATTTAAGTCACTCATGTGAGGTGCACCACAGTATTTAATTTTCTGTGGGCAACATTTCTTACATTGATTGGTGGGTTTTTGTTATTCCTTATGCCACCATTACTATCTACAGCAGCCAGGGCTTAAATTCTCAATGATTATTTCCCAGAAGCCCGGGCCCTCCGCCCATTCGGGGCTCCGTGCTTTAGCCCTGCAGGGGGAAGGGAACACCAGGGCTCATGGCTTTAGCCCTGGCACCTCCCATGGGGCTGAAGCCCCAATCCCCAGCATGTGCTGTGGGGCTGAGGCACTGGAGGTCCAGCTACTTTGAAAATATTTACTGGAGCTAGGGTTGCCAACATTCTAATCACACAAAACTGAACACCCTTGCACTGCCTCCTGCTCCACCCCCCCCCCCACTACCCCTTTTCTGCCCCAAGGCCCCACCACCCGCTCACGCCATCCCTCCACCCTCCATCACTCGCTCTCCTCCCACCGTCACTTTCACTGGGCTGGGGCAAAGGTTAGGGATGCGGGAGGGGGTGCAGGCTCCAGGAGGGAATTTGGGTTTGGGAGGGGGGCTCAGGGCTGGGGCACAGGAGGGGGTTTGGGGTGTGGGCTCTGGTCGGGTGGCGCTTACCTTAGGTAGATCCTGGAAGCGGCCAGCATGTCCCTGCGGCCCCTAGGCAGAGCTGCCTGTGCCCACAGGCGCCGCTCCTACAGCTCCCATTGGCCACAGTTCCCAGCCAATGGGCGCTGCAGAGCCAGAGTTTGGGGTGGGGGCAGCGCATGGAGCCCCTGTGGCCACCGCTGCACCTAGGAGTTGGACATTGTCAAGGTTCCTTCCCCACTTTGAACTCTAGGGTACAGATGTGGGGACCTGCATGAAAACCTCCTAACCTACTAAGTTCTAAGACTCCATTCCTGTTCTGTCCCTGGCAAAAGCATCACACAGACAAACCCAGACCCTTTGTTTCTCCCCACCTCCAGCTTTGAAAGTATCTTGTCTCCTCATTGGTCATTGTGGTCAGGTGCCAGCGAGGTTATCCTAGCTTCTTAACCCTTTACAGGTGAAAGGGTTTTTCCTCTGGCCAGGAGGGATTTTAAAGGTGTTTACCCTTCCCTTTATATTTATGACAGACATGCTGGCTGCTTCCAGCAGCCACGTGGAGCCAGGGCAGGCAGGGAGCCTGCCTTAGCTCTGCTGTGCCGCCAACAGGAATTTTACCGGCCTGGTCAGCAGTTCTGACCGGTGTTGCCAGGGTCCCTTTTCAACCTGGCTTTCCAGTCAAAAACTGGATGCCTGGCAACCCTAACTGGAGCTCCGCTAACAGCGGCAGTTCCCAAACTTTATTGGTTCACATACCACCTTCTTACAAATTTCTTCTTTTTGTGCACATTTATTTTAGGCCTAAATAGATATAAGTATTTACTGACTCATAGTTTAAAAAAAAAGTTTTGAATTTGGCTGGTGGACAGGTGCCTGGGGAAAATTAGAAGCGAAGGCAGTTTGGCTGGCGGAGTCTGGGTAGGAGGGTTAGAGGACGTGAGGTTAAGAGTGGGTTGGGAATTCTTAGACAAAAGATTTTTTTCCTCAGAAAATGCTGACATGTCAACGCCAAAATATTTAGTTGGAATGTACTAGTTTTGGCAAAACTTTCATTGGGAAAGGTTTCTCGGATGGAATTTCTGGTCATAACCAGAGACAGAGAAAGTCCCACTCCAGACTAGTTGAGTGGTCTAGATCTCTAGTCTGCCCGAGTCAGACCAGGGACTTGAACCCAGATCTCCCACATCCCAATAACTAGGTTATTGGCAGTCGGAGTTTTGGGGTTTTGTGAAAAGCTTCAAAAGGTCCCACTTTCATCCTCATGCAGAATGGGCTAATTATCAGAATCTCAGTTTTGCAAGATAGGAAAACTTGTTTCCTGTTGTGACAGCTCCCAGGGTACACTTTAGGCTGGACATGGCCGTTCAACAGACCCTTCTCCTCACGTATCTCTCCTCATAACATCAATGAATATTTGAAGGACATTGAACTAAGGGAAGTGGTCCCAGGCTGAAAGGATATCCAGCCTGTAAATTAAGAACTGTGAACTGCCTGCAGCATCTGGTGGCGTGAGAAAGCTGTTTGCTTCAAATCTTTCTGAGCTTGGTAAAGTTTAGGAATTAGATTGTGGTTATAGCTGTTTATTTCTTTAGCGGTCCCCACGTGGCTGGCTGGAGCAGCTGCAGTCCCGGCACCCCCCCACCCACCTCAGCAGTGGCCCCTCCGGATGGTCCCCCGGCAGTGGTCCCCCATGCCCGCCCAAGATTTAGTCATGGGTATTTTTAGTAAAAGTCATGGACAGGTCACAGGCTGTGAATTTTTGTTTATTGCACATGACCTGTCCATGACTTTTACTAAAAATACCCATGACTAAATTGTAGCCTTACTTATCACTTAACATCTAGCTTTCTCTAGTTAATAAACTTGTTTTATTGTTTTATCTAAACCAATGCATTTTGGTTCAAGTGTTTGGGCAATCTCTACTCAGGTTAACAAAGGCTGGTGCATAATCATTCCTTTGACGAAATAACAGACTATTAATGAGCTTGCCTTGTTGACTAGTGTGCTAGACAGTACATGACTCATATTTCTCAGGGTGCAAGGCTAGGACTAAGAATTTGCTGGTGTCACCCTGTTTGTAGTTCATTAGTGGCTGGGAAAGCATTCTTGTAACTTTGCTGGGAGTGATTTTACATGCTAATGGCTGTGCGAGAGCAGAGCCTGGAAAAGTTGCTTTTTCACTAGCAAAGCAGTATAACAGGAACCCTGGGCTGGAGAGTCTAGCTTGTACCCTGGGGAATGTCACACCCACATAGCTCTACTGAGACCAGATTGAGGATAGGGCTTCTGGCTGGCATTCAAAGGGGTTTGGTGGTGAGCGTGTGTGTAAAATGGTAGAGAGAAGCCTCTGGTGGGCATGCACAAAAGGGCTGAGGCCTCAGAGGGAATGGGTCGAGAGGTGGGGGAGTCTTGGCTAGAAGTGTGTGTGTGTGGGGGGGGACTTTACTTAGGGCCCAGGCAACTTCAGCTCCCAATTCACCCTAGTTCCAAGGCTTCAGGTTGCCAATTCCCTCTGAATCAGAGAGCTCTGCCAGTCCCACTGCAGCCTCTGTCTTCCTAATCAACTCCTTCATCTAGGTTAAAGTATTCCACGAGCCTCCTACCTGGGGCTGTGCTGTGATTGAAGCAGGCTTCCCCAACCCTCCAGGTTCCAGTTGTATTCTACAGACCTTTCCTTGGTCCTTGACTCACTTCTTCCCCTTTGTTCCAGGGCTGGACACCATAGTCTCCTTTATGTGGCTTTGGTATGACTCAGGCAGGCTTCCCCAGCCCACCAATCTCCCTTCTGGTTTTGGTTCCCATTCCAGGGAGCCACTCTCCTGTAATTCTCCTCAAGGCAGCCTGCCCTCTCTCTCTACCTGGGAGTCACCTAACAGCTAGGATTTATCATGTTGGATGTAGCTATCTGATTAACACCAACCATCCCGCAGCTAGTCTGCTGCTCCCTTGAACACCTGCTTCCTCAAAGAGGCCCTATCTATGGAATAAGGGTTGGCTGGCCCAGGTCCCACTACCCTTAGAAGGGAACAACCATGCTGTTACAGTGTACCACTTCCAGCAAATTCATGTACCACTGTTTGGGAACCTCTGACCTACAGCATATTCAACTGTCCTACGCTATTTTATGCATTGTAGCTGTAGCTGTGTCGGTCCCAGGATATTAGAGAGACAAGGTGGGTGAAGTAGTATTTCTACTCTGTTTTAGTGATAGTGGGACAAATTTTGCTGCTGTTTACATCTTGTAACTCGATTACCTTCGATTTCCCCCTCAGTTACACTCAGTTGATTTCACTGAAGTTGCTGCTCAGACCAGAATTTGGCCTACTGGGTATAATACCATCTCTAGCTTGCAGGATTACAGGAAGCAGTAGAAGATCAACATGTGGCTCTACATTTTTCAGAATGGTAACTACACCTATGTCCAGAGATGGATGCAAATTCATGAAAAGTCTGTTTATTGTCAGGATTTTTCAGAGTGGTCTGAGAAAAGAGAGAGGGTCCTATGGGAACTATGATTTGCAAGTTAACACCTCTAAAGAAAATATGGAGTCAAATTCATTGCTGCTGAAAATAGGTGCATTGACTTCAGTAGAGCTGCTGCTGCTTAAGGAAGTTGGAAACCCTTAAACTTTTGATGGTACGTATAAAATGGAGAAGGCTGGGTTAATAACAAAAGTAGACAATACAAATTACTTCATTTTTGTTTATTAATGTTGTCAGTAAACTCTGCATGCTTGGTTAATAGGCTTTGGATACAGACTTCAAGTACAAGAGGCTTTCTATCCATACAACATACAACAAAAAGACACCAAGAATCTAAACATTTTCCAACCAAAGTCAAGCCACTCCATGTATTCTAGTTAGGCACCAACCATCATTTATGTTATTCTAGTGAGATTTTTTTCCCCCTTATCTTCAATTTTTCAACTTTTTTGTTCTCACTTGTATGTTCTAGCTACTGTCCTTGAGCATTTCAAGTGTAAGGGTGTCTAGCTCGTTATAGATGACAAACTGATGGGATGGGGGGGGAAAGTAATATTGATAACACTCACAGGATATGGTACCTTTGCAGTTTACAACAAAGAAAAGTAACTGATTAACAGAATTTAGTACTAGAAGGCAAGAGGGCAACAGTAGAACTGTTATAATTTTAAAGCAGTCAAGTGTATTACATATTAGCAATAATCAGTGTTTTAGAATATATTATAATAGGTAATAAAATATATTTGAATCTACTATCACTGTAAGAATGTACATATTGTATTAGCTAAGAAAAATCCAAAAGGTTATTCAAAATTGCTTGATTAATTTTATTTTCCCCCTCATCCAGCAGCTAAATTATATTCTGTGGAATTTGGATATTCTGCTAAAGTGCTCTTACTAGGCTTCATAGTCATCATCAATGTTAAACAACATGAATCAGCACAGATTGTGTCAGCTTTTGAAGAAAAGGCACAACGGATCTGGGTTCATGCATTGACCCCGCATTAGTTTCCAGAAGCCATTTCACCCACAAATGGATTTTATAGCTGCATAAGAGTAACACCATGGTTATGGTGTTTCTTCTAATCACTTAGTTTTCACAAATGATGCTTTTGTTCTTAAATTGATTACATGGCAAAGTATATTTTTTGCAATAAAGTAATGTCAGCACTTCAAGGCAACAATAATACCTTCCTTAACTACCCACCCTTTACCTTCCAAGGGAAAATAGGGTACAGGAAGGTGTGAAAAAAATCCTTCACCTTTTTCTTTTGAATTATAACAAGTCACATCACCCCTGGCATTTAGAAACAAGTAAATATGAAACATAGATTTCCACTTGGTGCTAAGTAAGGGGCACTGTAAATCTACAGACCTTTAACTTCTTGTTTTAAAAAAAGCAATTGGAGCAAAATCTCTTTTTAATTTTTTAAAAATCTTTTTACTACATTTAGAATAATTTCAGTTATAAAAATGGCTATACTTTTTCAAAATGATTACTTAGTATTTGGATTAGAGCTGCATGGAAACAACTTTTTGGTTAAAATGTATTTGTTTCTCAATGAAATTTCATTTTGTCAGAAATTTTCTGACCAGGTCTAGTAAAAATTCATGCTCCGTGCAGTGTTTCCTTCCCTTATGCATTTCCCATTCAGTTACTATGAGACAGGTTTTCATTTCAGTTACAGTAGTAAACCCAGGCAACTCCACTGATTTATGTGGAATTATCTTGGATTTACCCTACCATATCCAACATCAGAATCTGACCTGTCTTGTCCTGCACAGAGCTGTTTATCTACTTACCTCACAAAAATATTGGTCCATCTGGTGGAGGAGCTGTAATTCTTCTCTGGTTACCAGACGAGTGTTTTCTAATGTGAAGCCTGTAAAAATTATTTCCGTATGGGAGACTTATTGGCTAGAAAGCCAGAAGACAAACCGGCTTCCTTGGTTGTGAGACCAGAAAAATGTATTTTTTTAAGTGAACACTTAAGAGGAACAATATGACAGCTAAAATCCTCAGCTTCACTCAGTCTATTGATCATCTGTACACAGTGCACCACATTCTGTGCTTACATATACCCTTAAAATTTCACTTGAACTCCACTTAAGTCAGTGAAGTTACTCTGAATTGATAATAATGTAGCCAAGAGCAATGTTTAGCACAGTGGCTCAATCACCTGTCTGAATGTTGCCTGGTGTTTCAGACTGATTTACCATATCTTTCTTCTCTTTGTTGCATTTGAAATCAGTTTTTTTAAAACATCCAGATCTAGGGAATTCAAGCTCCTTTGATATCCATTTATTCTTTTAGTTTACCCCAGAAATGGCAGTCTGGAATTCATATTTTAAATAAGAGTCTTAATAAGGTCAGTGGTCCTGGGGCTCATCCCTGGCAATATTTAAGTTTTATAGGGTAACATAATGATGGAGTGCTTGAACTGCACATTTCCTTTATTCTGTGGGTTTATCAGAATCATAGGCACATATTTTCAACATAGACCTTGAATTATATTTATGGTTTACATTTCTGAAAGTAATATTTCATACTCCAAAGTTACAGTGGATGGAACAAAAACGGACAGTAATACAACAATAAATCATCTTTGACTAACGTGGGAACAGAAGCAACATTTTACAATCACAGTTACAGTGGTATTATGTCTAAGAGGTTTGTTACACATTACACCACATAAATTAGCTGCTTTAAAGACCATATAGCATCATGTCACACAACATAGTTTACAGATTATTCTTCACGTCAGGTGAGAGTCAGGTAGTGCACAAATTACGATTACAGGTGAAATCCTTACACAGCATTTCAAGATGTATCAATTTGGAGTAGACTGATTTTTTTTTAATTCAACATAAAATATAACTCAAAGACAGCCCAATCCCCTTTTAATCGTTAATAATAATTTATATGATGAACAACGCCTCAGATATGACATAGTAATTAATGGTCATCTATGTGGCTTCAGAGCAAATGAATTTTTGAGGCTTACATTGCTGTAAGTATGATATCGATTTAAGTAGGTTAGTCTCAAATGTAATTTTTCTGTTTTTAAATATGTGTAAACCTAACATCTGTTTTTAAGATTTAATTTTTTTTTACTTTTAATGAAAAGTTGTAAAACATGGTATTTGATGTGTTAGAAATCCCAGAACAGTAGCATTGTGCTGGTACATGAGAATATGAGAACAAAATTGACCAGGCTATTTTTATGGTCCAGTCTGGGAAATTACAAACGTGTACTCAAATGGTAGAAATGATAGAAAGTAAATTTGTACTTTGATAATGTTGCTGTTCAATATTCTGAGATGTTAACAGTTCATGATTTTTTTAAAAATCATTTCAATGTAAATTAATTTTAATACATCACTCACACTTAAAACATTTCAACCAATTTGTAGGAAATGTCTCTCAGCGTAAAATCTATCAAATCAACAGAAACATTTAAAGCATGACCACTGTAGGATCATTGGCAGCAGATCCAGGTACAGGGAGGAAATGGGAAGATTGTAGAGGGAATATGTACCCCCAAGGAGCAAATGAGAGCAGGGAATGGGGTGCCTGGGGAAAGGGCCAAATGATCTCAGTCTGTGCAGATTCTCCTGTTCTCCCTTCCCAGACAGGGTACAGGGGATATAAGGATACATAGAATATACTTCAGCCCAGGGGGGCAGAGTGGGTTCCTCCACCCCTGCTTCTTCCCAGAACCCCATCCAGCTAGTTGGACTGAGCCGTGGTTTCTGGATTTAGGTCAATTTTTCATCTAAGTGGAGTGGATTCTTACATGTTCAAAGAATTACACTGTGGGAAGTGGTAGTGTGTGGGGAGGGGTGGTGGGAGTGAGGAAAGAGTCTATTCTTTCCTTGCCCTATTGGGGTCAGGAGAACAAACCCCTTTAAATTTAAATACCTATTGTTTTCACTATTTAAAGGTTTGAGTTGGTTCTTCTACCTGCCAGAAGGCTGGCACTACATTCCAGTGACATCAGGTCTATAAACATTTTATTATTGAAGTCAAATCCAAATAAAATGTGCATATTCCTTAGTTTAAAAGTGTTTCTGGTTCCCTAGTTCTTGCAGCACCAGTTAGGCAGTCAGATACTACACTGATGTAAGCCATAGAAGTACCTATGTAGGCAAACAGAATTAGCAATATGCAGAACACTGCATTTTAAGAGGATGGCTGCCTCCAAATAACAAACCCCTTTTAAAGGAAGGTAGAGGAATCTACATAGAAAATTGTTACATTAGGAGCTATTAGAGTTCCTCTAATTCCTTTCTTACCACTGGCTCTGCCACCTAGGAAAGCAGATGTCTCCAAGGGCCACTTGCAAAACTACCATGGTAACAAATAGACCTGTAATAGGATAGTGCTCTAACTGTATTATAATAAGGTAATTTGGTCCTGTCTACACAGGCAAGAACAAAGAGTGTTAAAACCATTTATAGAACTCCATACAGCCCTGATTTTTACAGAGCCATAATACTGCTTGTTAACATCGCAACAGCACCGCCTGGTTCCATCTATAAATCACTAAGTCCAAATCATGGTATAATGCAGTCAGGAACCATGGTACAACACAATTTGCTGACAGTAATTTTGCTAGTGTAGCTGGGCCATATAATATCAATAGCTACATTTCCCCCCTCATAATTCCCACTCCCACTAAAGAAAATTGATTTTCTCCATGCTGCCAAGTTAACACCCCTCACCTCACCCACATTCCTTATAGCTGCTGCTTGTCCTGTGCTTTCAGAAGTTCAGTTGTTAGTATTGAGATGTGCTTCCAGGCAAATTGGATATGGACAGACTCCACTGTGCGGGAACAAATGGCAAAACGTAGCACAAACTTCTCTCTCAGGTGACATGGAACCAGATGGATCTTCCTGGCATCATTTATGCTTTTAAGAAGTGCCTCATTCAGTTCATTGGAGCCCTGAAATAATTGTAAACAATAAACATGAATTTTAAATGCTGGTTTGTTATCTCTTGGTCCCACCAACCAGCACTGTCTACCTAACTATAATACCAGCACTAGTCTCCACCCATTATTTCTTCCCATGACCCAAATTCCTCAATCCTTTGCCACCAAAAGTTTGTGAGAATACAGTGGGTCATGGGATAATTTTTCAGTCATTTTGTGAATCATGGACACCAAATGGTTGAGAAGCAGTGGTCTAGGGCATTTCTGATGGCAGACAAGTTTTGGGGGAGAAGAGGTCATCAATATCTGCAATTTTATATAAAAATGTTCATTTTTGTAACTGCCTTTCTAATATTTTAAGAGCTAATCAAAGACAATTAGGAAGAAGTTTTGCAATGAAATATTAATATTTGTGAACTAAATCCTACAGTTTTTATTCAAATACAACTCCCATTGAAGACATGTTTGAACAGAAAGATAGAAAGGACTGGGTGGGGGAGGGCAGTTAAGCCAAATTCATGTAAGGCTTAAAGTTAAGGTATGAATTTTGCTTATAGTAGCAGAAACCCTACAAAAAAGTCTGCATTGTTAGAGAACTTGTTCCTCCATATAATACCTGCAGCTTTGCCACTCAAGTTTATGGTTTCATAGGAAATATGAGTGGAGGTGGCAGAGTGTGTACATGGTGCTGATGATTTCATGATAATTTGTGAGAGTGGCGGATAAGAGGTATGTTGCAGCGAGGGCCTAGGTGTGTTTGGGGTATTTTGTGTGGAATGGATGTGGCAGTTGGGCCAAGTAATCCAGCATCTGTGTAGTCTTCACACAATGAAATGCAAATTAGCTGTAGAGTAAGGGTGGTGATTGAGTTTTCTTTGACATCCCAATGGTTTAGGACTCTTAGCATGGCATAGATACATTACATTGCATACTTCATAGTAGTTGTACACTGCACAGCTGTATTTTGTAAAGTCAAAATGGCTGAGAACTTAAAAGTTGGACAGTAAGAGACAATATACTCCTGTCATGATTCATCCTGGTAATATTCTAAACATAAAGCTATCAACCATGCTTGTAGTTGTTTCCATCACGACAAATGACTCTATGGACATTCTAGGCTTCAGAGTAACACAAAAACCAGGTGACAGTGCTGGAATCTTATACAGATTATCTTATCAGGCATTAGAGTTTTTTAGAAATATGAATAAAGTAATTCTCCCCACTGTCAGTTAGATTGTATCCGCTTTCCATAGATGAGGCAGGGAGGTTAAAATGACTTGCTGAAGGTCACAGAAGGAGTCTCTAATGCCTGAATCATTAGATTATGCTTCCTTCCATTGCAGTGGCACCTTGAAATGCCTTCTGTACTCTCCATGGCTGAGTGGTAGGATTTTATTTTTGAGAGTGACCAGTGTGGTGCCAGTCCCAACTCCTAATGTTCCAAGCAGTGCTTTTGAGAGGCCTGATCTCCCACTTCGACCCAACTAGAGTCATTCCCAGGCAAACATTTGAAAGGGCCATGTTTATCAGTTAAGGTTTGGGACTGAAAACAGATTTTTCCAAAGAGAAATAAATTGTTTTAAATTAATCTTTTAAAAAAACATGCACAAACTATCCAAAGGGACCCATTCCTGGTTGTTTTTACTGCATACTTTTCTAAGTCTTTTTATTATGCCCTTTTAGGGGAATGTACCTAACTCTTATACCAGCAGGCTTGGAGTTACACCCTGAACCTTGCGGACCAGTTTGCAGTACTTTTTCAGGGTAGCCTTTGTTGACCTCAAGTGTTGGCAGTTGTTTTGCACAGATACGTCTGAGGTTATGCAGCAACTCCTCAGTCGCTTCTGTCCTGCTGCCCGGTAAGTAGGTGAAACAGGTTTACACGGGAGGCATAGATTGCTGCTGTCAGAACACAGGCAATTCAGAAATGAACTGAATTAACCTGCAAAGCTTTCAGGAGCAGATTTGCAATAGCACCTAAAACATTTAGGAACACAAGTCCAGTGGGACCTGTGATCCTAACTCCCTTACGTGCTTTTGAAAACCTCCCCTTTAGAACACATGCTATTGTTCTTTCAGTACTATACACGGTGGCAAGCCTAACTAATTTTGCCCTTTTGGGGAAAAAAAAACATATGGAAGGTAATTGACAGTTTCCCTACTGTCACAAGTGGGAAATGTCTTCTTCCACACACCCTTTGATCATGTTATAATAGAGATGGTCCCAACTCAAAATGCTATATGCAATTTACCCTGTACTTTGAGGAAGTTTGACTCCTGGCAGGCAGGCCCTTATCTCTGCAGAAAATCATGATGAAACATGAACTGCGCTCTCACTACTGTTCACCATGACAACCAATCTCACACTCAATTTTTTGTTGGTGAGCTTTCTGTCCTGGGCACATATATATCTCTTTGTTCTGGATGATAATCCATCATAAAATTGATGATCCTTTCCCTCTATATTCAACATGTCATTCAACAGCACAGCATTAGCATTTAGGTCTCAGTTATCTCATGTTAAGTTACTGCTCTCTTGAAAAATAGCTGTGCACATCTTTTTTCTCTTATATTCCCACAGAAGCTCTTAGGGGTTGCTTTGACACTCTGGTGTCACATCAAATTGAAGTTAGTGAGGACTAATCCCCTCCCAGAGCTTTGGGAGGCAAGTAGCCAGCACTGATCGAGCATGTCAGTTTTAATAAGACATTATTCTTCCTGCCCCTCAGAGAAATTTCCTCATATTCATCTGCAGTCATGACAAGGGAACCAAAAATTAACCCATTGACACATTAGCCCCCAGATTTTTCCTTTGGAGAGCGCTCTACCATATGATACCTAGGCATCATTAGTGCATCTGTTCAATAGTGTGAAAGGAAAAAATGCAGAGATTTAAAAGTTTTAATTAAGCAAGACAACGAAAAAAGTTTAATCAAAAACAAAAGGGAAAAAATTAAACTTTTCACTATCTCTAGATATTGCATCAAGTTTTCTTTCTCGGTATGCAGCACTATCACCCTAATCCCCCATCACGAACAATAGAGAAGAGGTGCGGGTACATTAGATCTAAAGGGGATTTTCCTGGGAATTTGATAAACACAAAACTTGATTTTGAAAGAGTGATTCAGAAAGTGAGTAAAGCCACAGAGACAATGGTGGGCAGCCCTTCATACAAACATTTGTGCAACAGTGGTAAAATCCAAAAAGGAGGAGGGCTTGAAGGCCTTGTTGCCTCCAGGTTGCTAAAGAATCTAGCATTGCTCTAGCCAAGTCTTTATTCTGAAAAGTGCCCAAGACATCCAGCATCTGCCCACTATTTCATAATTGTCCATTATGAGGGTCTTACACCTTCCTTTGAGCATCAGAGACAGAAGACTGGACTTAAATGGACCATTGGTCTGATCAAATGTGACAATTCATGCGTTGCCATGCTCCATTTCACCAGGAATGCTCCTTGAAAGTACAGATAGAGCACTTCACAGCTGTCACCAGACCTACAAAATTCTCTGTGTCTGCTTATTCCATATGAGAAAATAGGTCTAAAAATATTTTTCATGTCAGCAATAACTTCCACAAGCCCTATGCCTCAAAACCTTCCATTGAGCTTGCCAAGGTTCCTTCCCCACCCTGAACTCTAGGGTACAGATGTGGGGACCTGCATGAAAAAAACCCTAAGCTTATTTTTACCAGCTTAGGTTAAAACTTCCCCAAGGTACAAACTATTTTACCTTTTGTCCCTGGACTTTATTGCTGCCACCACCAAGCGTCTAACAAATATAACAGGGAAAGAGCCCACTTGGAAACGTCTTTCCGCCCAAAATCCCCCCAAACCCTACACCCCCTTTCCTGGGGAAGGCTTGATAAAAGTCCTCACCAATTTGCATAGGTGAACACAGACCCAAACCCTTGGATCTTAAGAACAATGAAAAAGAAATCAAGTTCTTAAAAGAAGAATTTTAATTAAAGAAAAAGTAAAAGGATCACCTCTGTAAAATCAGGATGGTAAATACCTTCCAGGGTAATCAGATTCAAAACATAGAGAATCCCTCTAGGCTAAACCTTAAGTTACAAAAAGACACAAAAACAGGAATATACATTCCATTCAGCACAACTTATTTTATCAGCCATTTAAACAAAACAGAATCTAACGCTTATCTAACTAGATTGCTTACTGACTTTTTACAGGAGTTCTGACCTGCATTCCTGCTCTGGACCCGGCAAAAGCAACACACAGACAGAGAGAACCTTTGTTTCTGCCCTCTCCAGCTTTGAAAGCATCTTGTCTCCTCATTGGTCATTTTGGTCAGGTGCCAGCGAGGTTATCCTAGCTTCTTAACCCTTTACAGGTGAAAGGGTTTTTCCTCTGGCCAGGAGGGATTTAAAGGTGTTTACCCTTCCCTTTATATTTATGACACGCCCCCCAAATCACAGATAGGGTGAAATGCTGGCTGTGATTTCTTCCTGGAGCTCGAGGAGAAAACAGAGTTAATAAGACACATGCACCTCTAAATATACTACCAAGTATATCAAGACTAACAATATTTTTCACATCTCAAGGATGATTTTAACCAGTTGATTCTAGGAAACTTTCACAGGAGAGTGCATCAGCCACTTTGTTAGAAGCTCCTGAGATGTGTTGTATGTCGAAATCAAAATCTTGGAGAGCTAAACTCCGCCAAATAAGTTTTTTGTTATTTCCTGTGGTGGTATGAAGCCACTGTAGCGCAGCATGGTTGGTTTGCAGGTGGAAACGCCGTCCCCAAACATATGGGCATAGCTTTTCCAGAGCGTAGACAATGGCGTAACATTCTTTTTCACTGACTGACCAGTTGCTGTCCCTCTCAGACAGCTTCTTGCTGAGAAACACTACAGGGTGGAATTCTTGATCTGGTCCTTCCTGCATTAAAACTGCTCCCACACCACGTTCAGATGCATCTGTGGTTACTAGGAACGGTTTGTCAAAGTCTGGGACCCTTAGCACAGGGTCAGACATGAGTGTCGCTTTAAGCTGG